CCTGAGCACGTGGTGAAGCACCGATCAGACTAATACTAAGACAGGAGTCCGAGCACCGTGTTACTCAGCAACTGGGTATTGAGTCAACTTACACATCAACACATATATAAACGAAGAGCCAACTTTCCAAACAGAATTAAGAACATAAATAATTAGAAATATTTACTAGCTGGTATAACAATATTTAACATTGTTATAACGAAAGAGTTACATCAAAGACCAACAATTGTTATTTTTATTTATTTTTTTTAGGCTATTTTGCATGGAGACCCCCCTCAGATTTACGAGTTTGGTAAATTGTTTCCTTAATTTTATTTTTATTTTATTTTTTTTTGCAATTCACTCTTTAAACTTCAAAATTTGGTAGAATATTGGCCAAATAAAAAATGATGTTAAAAATTTAAACAGTTTCTTCCACGTGAGTATTTAATGATGGCAATTAATATCTGTTTGTAAAGAATTGATTTTCATATACGCATCACGAGTAATTTTTTTAAAAATTAAAAGTTAATCATTTTGGAGGAAAAAATAGGGGTCTCCTAATTTAAAAAAAAAAAAATTCATTCATAACGTGTATAAAGGACGATACATAGAATTAAGCTTTAGCTATTTGATTTATCAACTAGGAGTACCAATAGGGAGGTCCTACCGAAAAAAATTCTTCTAAATTTTGATGACACGATCTATGTTTGAGAATACTTATATAAAATAAATTATTAATAATTTTCTATTTTAAACAAGTAAATTTGTATAAAATTTTTTTATTTTGTATACTTTTTTAATTTAGCGTGTTTTTAAATATATTTAATAGTTAAAAATTGATTTTTCTATTTAAGAAAGTCCATTCTAATGTTGAGATATAAATTTTTACAACCCATTTAAAAAATATACTATAACAGAATAATTTATTTTAGTTTGAATATATACACTAAAAAAGTACTTCTAAGTATGGAGTCGGTGGCCTCCATCCACCCTTTGTTGTCAAAAGCGCATATAGACCCGTGCAGAATGAAGAAGAGCTCTGAATTCTGATTAATCAATTCGCGCCTTCCTCACTGCCCCAGTATCCGTCAATCCCGCGTTCTTAAAGATAAAAGGGCCCCACCGTCTTACTTTTCCTAAAGAGTAAAGAGAAAATTGGTCCCACCTCAATTTAATTGCCCAAGACTTTCCTTTTTTATTTTTATGTTATTTCTTATAAATTAATGACGGATAAAATATTATTCAAAAAAAAAAAAAAAAAATTTGGTGTAAGAAACCAAGAAGAAATTTACTCTTAAGACCATCTCTAACCTAAATAATAATATTAATTGTATATTTAGTATCAAAAGTTATTATATAATATTTTATTTTTATTTTTATTTTAATACATAAAAGTATTTAAAATGTTAAAATTATTTTTTATTATTATTAAACTTTAAAAGTTGTAAAAATAAATTTTTATTTTTAAAATAAAAAGTTACATTAATTACATGAAAAAATAAATAATTTTAACTAATAATAATCAAATGTCAAATTTTTCATATGATATATTTAGTGAGAAATTTAACACAGTATAATATATGAGAAATTTAACATTACATTTGAGAATATTTTTTACACTCAAATATTAAATTTATAATTAACACATTAATTATAACATTACATTAAAGATCATCTAAAATATAAAAAAAAAAGAAGCTTCACTAATGGGACTAAAAAAATGACACTACCCATAACTCTTTATTTTTTGCTGTCTAAATATGTAGTGAAAACTATCTATTTTATATATATTTTTAATATGATATAAACTAATACTACCGTTAACCCAAGCCTACTAAAAAAACTCCTTATAATATATATATAAAAGACAGGTATTCATTTTTTGGTCTTGTCGGAGCAGTGACATTTTGACTATTGTGTCCTTCAACACTTTGACCCTTTTTTTTTCTTGTAATTAAACAATTTGATCCTCGTCTTGGATGAAAAATCTATGAAAAGTGAATGGTAGATATGAAATTACCCAACTGATGTGCTACAATTCTGAACCGCTAAGTTTCCATTAACATTCGATGATCTAATATGGAGAAGATTTTAACATAATCGGATGGTTGTTATAAACAAATATAGTTTTTTTTTTTTTCTTAATGCCTTATAAAAGATTACATGTGAATTGTTTGGCAGAGGTATCATCATCTACTTTATGGCTCAAACTCACTAAGGAGGAGCTAATTTCAACTCTTCAATTAGAATACAAGATCTCTTTTAAGAGGGAAATTTCCTTCAGCTTATTATGATTTATATTTTGCTTAGTAAATGAATTTCAGATTCGAACTTCAATGAATTGACAAAAAATAAAGAGAAAAATAAAAGTTTCTTTGATTTTCTTGCCAAAAACCAAGTAATCAAAGAGGTGTTAATTAATGCAATATTCAAGGTACAAAAGGACGGTGTTGTATCATATTTTCTATGTGCATCTTGAATGAATATCTGAATATATCATTTGTTCTCATAGAAAACGAAACTTGGAAAAAAAAAATAATAATAAAAAAATTTCAAAACCATTGTCAAATGTTGGGGTCCCTCTAAGGCGTTAGCTACAAAGAAATATTAGAAAGGTATACTTCTCGTTATTTATAAATTGGACTCAATTTTTTTAATTTTGATATTTAATATTTTAAATTTGATAATCCTTAATATTATATTCCAATCGATAACAAATTAATGAGCTTATAACAAGGATCTTAAATGTCAAAATTTAAAAGATTCATGTATTTTTTGTGTGTGTGAATAACTTAGGTTTAATTTGCCAACTAAAGAGGTTGCAGGTGTATTTGTGCAAAAATTGTGAGAATTTACATTAATAAAAAGTTTAAAATTTAAGTTGTCAAAAAACAATGAATTCAGGATGCATAAAACAAACCTTAAAAAAGCAAGGGGGCCATGATTCATTCATGGAAGGGCAAACAGGTAAATATATTGACGAGGCTTTTGTAAGAAAAACGTTTGGACTTTATGACCTTATATTAAGGGAACAGATTTTTGGCCAAAAATCAAACAAAGTTTGCAATTACATCAATCCCAAAGAGACTGGCTTTTCTTCTATACGGTCTTGATCATCAAGTTCCATGATTTGCGGACGCCAATTAGGAATCTTAAATCTTTAACACTTGTATGGCTCAAGTTCTATCTTTTTTTTTTTTCCCCCATATTTTTTATTTAAGAAATAGGACTAAACGACAACATCCAAACAGCTAATTAATCCGATTGACTCTAATTACCCAATAGATTTTTAAGAGTTTTTTTTTTTTCCATTTTTCTTTTCAAATTATGAAGAGTTTTTTTTCTGAATAATATATAAAAAATTGGATGGTTAGGATTAAAACATGCAGATATTTTGTATTGAACCGTGAAGGGAAGAGTTATATACTAGAAAATTGAGGTTGGCATTTAGAAAAAAAAAAAAAAAAAAAAATTTTGAGGTTGGCCGGTTAGCACTTTGTAGTTTTGATTATTTTTGGTTATAGGCTGGAGCGGAGCCTGAATGATAATTTCTTTGGAATCATTGAACTCTGAAACTCAAAAAATGTATACCTAAAAACCAATTATCTTTACATATAGAAGACTACTACACCAAAAAGCTCCAAAAAAAAAAAAAAAAAAAGCTTAAAAAAAAAAAAAACAAAAAACATTTTTCGTTGGTAGGACACAGTTTCATATTTTACATAAAGAAAAATATAATAATTTACGGGAACTTCAACAAACTTTGACGGTTAACAGTTGCATTTTAATAATATATATATATATATATATTTCATATTTTATCACAAAATTTACTGATAAACAATCTGCTTAAAGATCAAGCAAGCTGGTATGGAGTTCGATTTAGATCTACTTTCTGCCTTGCATCATTATTAAGTTTCCTTTGCGAAATAATATCTTTACATAACACAGAGCGGATATATATATATATATATATATATATATAGAAACATAGAACAATCACATCATCAATTCTTTCACAGAAGCATGCAAGCAATCTAGTGAAGTTCACAAAAAAAGATCTATTTATATACCAAGTTTTGAAGGAGAGACATTGCCATGAGCTTTCACATGATATAGAAAACTTCCCCTTGAATTTTGTCTCACTATAAATATGAACATTCAACAAGCAATAAAGCCACTTTTTCTCCCTTTTGGTCTGAAATTTAATTAATTACCTAAGCGCTATTTTATAAGTTGAAAATTCGAGCACTAAATGTCGACTGGTTTTAATTGTGAAAGTGAAATTTAACATGGTGACGACCAACAACCAAATTTGTTGTGACACTCCAACGTGAACTTTGCAACTTCTACATGCAAATGTTGAAGCTACAAGTGAAAAAAAAAAAAAAAAAAAAAAAAAAAAAAAATTTATTTTTGAAAAAAAAAAAAAAAAAAAAAAAAAAAAAAAAAAAAAAAACATATTGATTTCTGAGAAAAAAAAAAATATTGTTTAAGATTCTATGGTAGGGTTAAAAAAAATCCTATTAAATTTTTTTTGAGAAAAAAATCCTATTGATTTCTGTATTGTAAAAATCTTAGGTTTCATCCTCTAATTAATCAATTTTTATCATGAGTATCCTAAAAAGGGTCATTTTCTTTTTATAACAACAACAATAAAATTCGCTTTTCTTTTTTTTTTTTCCCCCCCATTTTCTTCCCACTTGAGTGTGTATCAAAATTCGTATCCATTTAACTTTTTTAACTTTTTACCCCTTTGTTTAACATCAAGGCTACTACAGAATTTTCCATTCTTGCCCTAAATTTCCATATACCCTCGCAAAGCATTCAAGATTTCCCACTGACCAACCAACTCTACATCTCCAAAAAAATCTAAAAAAAGAAAAAGATAATAATAAAGAAAAGAAGAAGAAAAAGAAAAAGTCAAGCAACCGGTTGAACCAGTTTCCCGGTAACAAATTCAACCAAAGAAAAACCCACTTTGTCTTCTTTTTCTCACCCGCCCCTATACATACCAGAATCGCAAAGCCAATCATTCTCTCCTTCTCTCTCCTTCAAATTTTCGTACAAAATCCCCATCCAAAACCCACTAAAGAGTGAGGAATTTTGTAGAATAAAGTTGGGTTCTTCCTCAAAAACCCAATTCCTCTCCTTTCTTTCTCTACTTTTCCTTTCCTTTTTAAAACTTGAAATCGAAAGCCGACGCGAAAGCGCGTTTTTTAGTAGCTGTGAAGCAGATTAAACGCCTATCGTCATTATCGTCTTCTTCTTCTTCTTCTTCTTTTTCTTCAGTAGTAATACGCATACTGACATTCTGCAGATTTATTGCTGCTACTGCTCAACTCCCTAATGACGTATTGTCTAAGAAAAAGAGTGTTTTTTCATCTTTTCCTTTTCCAGACGGTAGATCTGCGCCTCTGAGATACTCACAGAACTTCACAGCAAGTAATACTACAAAATATATGTATATATATGTATATCCTTTCACTTAAATTTACATTATTTAAGCTCATTATTGCTGTTTTTAAAAACATTGCTGCAGATTTCGCATTCAACAGGGTTGAAGTTCGAATTCGAAGTTTTCTTAAAAAGTCCCCCATCGGAAAGGAAGCAAACGACGAAAGCTCCGTGAAACTACGATCACAAAAATGGGAAAATCCGGTACAACGACAGGAAGAGACTGGAACCAGATCTACTCGATCTACGGCCTGGACCAATGGCAGACCGTTCTTTTCCTTCTCTTTCATGGTGTTCTGTTCACTGCACTTTCGGTGCTTTATCTCGCTTACTTTAACCCAATCGTCGCAGTTTTCGAGCGGCTCCTCTTTCCCGGCGGCGCCGCAGCAAGATTCGCCGCCGGATTCACCGGCTCCGTCGCGGCGATCTCCGCCATCTGCCTATTCTTCGCCGCCGCCAACTTCCTCCACTCCTCCCTCCTCCTCCACCACGACATGGCCCAGAGAATGGTCAACTCGGTCAACGACTGGTCAACGGTCAAACTCGCCCTGGACTTGGGCTGCGGCCGGGGGATTCTCTTGAACGCGGTGGCGACCCAATTAAAAAAGGGAGGGAGTTCGGGCAGGGTTGTGGGCCTGGATCGGTCCAAGCGGCCGACGCTCTCGACACTCCGGACGGCCCATTTGGAGGGCGTCGGCGAGTACGTCACGTGCCGTGAGGGCGACGCGCGGCGGCTGCCGTTCGGGGATAACTATTTTGATGTTGTCGTGTCGGCGGTTTTCGTCCACACTGTCGGGAAGGAGCACGGGCAGAAGACGGCGGCGGCGGCGGCGGAGAGGATGAGGGCGGTGGGGGAGCTCGTGAGGGTGCTGAAGCCGGACGGGTACGGCGTCGTTTGGGATTTGCTGCACGTGCCGGAATACGTGCGGCGGCTGCAGGAGCTGAAGATGGAGGACATTAGGGTGTCGGAGCGCGTGACGGCGTTCATGGTCACCAGCCACATCGTCTCCTTCCGGAAGCCGAGTCAGCACGTCGCGGGCCCCGGCGAGGTCAGGCTAGACTGGAGATGCTGATGATGTGGAGCCCACGTGGAAATTGATACCTTATCAATATAAAATATAAGAGAAAATGAAAACTATATATACTCTTGGTTTTTTTTTTTTTTTTTTTTTTTTTTTTTTTTTTTTTTTTAGGAAGAAGTTAATATAAAAGGAATAAGTAATGGAGTGTTACGTAGTTGAATTAATATTATTGTATGATTATTATGTGAAGTATTCTGGGAAGGCGAAGCTGACTCAGATCAGATGGTTTGGAGGATAATATTATAATTTATATGTATACAAATGTAACGTAATTTTGTCACATATTAGTGGTTGGTTTGCAAATGATGCCAAGTTGCCAACTTTTTTCCAACTATATATACATACGTGAAATCTTGTCTTGGCTTGTTTATCCGGTTGTGAAATTTTGAAAATTTCAATCCAAGTTGATCATAAAATCTTTTTTTTTTTTTTTTGGTAATGGTATTATATACTTTAGGACTAGCCACTAGGAAAGTAAAGTTTTTTATATTCATCTCTAATTTTATAATATAATTTATAATTTTTTTTTATAAAAAATACACATAAAATAAAAATAATTTTAAATTATAATTTTAAATATATAAATCAAACGTGTCGTTATAAATTGAGGATCAAAGAAAAGAAGAAGGTGATATTTGTGTTTTGGAATTGTAAAAGCAAAGGTTGCGGAGAAAGTTGATAGTTTTCTTGACGTAGGAATTGGCATGCACTTAGAGGGAGGGTGTTGTGAAGTCTACATCACATCAAATCAAGAGGGCTTTGGCCAGAGATTTGAGAGTGAATGAACGAATGATTTTGGTTTTGGTTTTGAGAATTATATCTTATTGGCATCTCATCTTCTGTTTTCATTCTTGTCTTGTGATCAGATTCCAACTTTTCTGAAAATATCTGTAGCCTTTAAATTTATTTTCCCAAAAAAAAAAAAGTAAAGAAAGAAATAAAGAAAATAAATTTTTAGGACATGCTGATACAATTCATCGGAATCCAACTTTTCTGAAAATATCTGTAGCCTATAAATTAAAATTTATTGCAGTTATTTGGTTAGGTAATTCGTACTTTGATTTAAATTATAATTCGTGATTTGTTACAGTATTTTTTTTTATAAAAAATATACATAATTTTAATTTATGAATCAAACGTCTCGTTAATTAGTGTTCAGGGTTCTATCATTACGGCCGTACTAGAGAATGCCATTTACTTGTGTAGATATAACCACAAATTCGGCGGAGACAATAACACACAAACTTATGGATGAGTTCTTAGATGGTATTAGAGCTGAGTTGTTGTTAATGACTTGATGCAAAATATGGTATCATACTGCTTAAATTTCCGGCATTAGATTTTATCAGCTGTCCAGTTAAAAAAGATTTAATAACGGTTCAGATTGTTTCTTTTCAATATCGTACGACTGAAATTGGAGATGCATGAACATCCTAACAAAATTTGTTGTCATATACTTGTGTTGTTTCACTATCAAATATGTTGGAGATTTGGGTTGAACCTCAGGCTTTTCTCTCTTTTCTTTTTCCTATGAAGCTTCAAGCTTTAGTTTAAATGGTCCAATAATTAGCATTCAAGTTAGAAAAATAATTGTGTCTGTAAAGTAGATGGCGAGTGTGGACAATTGGCATTCTACTACTTAAAGATGCCAAAAAAGAAGCACGATCAAGTGATTTTCCTTCTTTTAATTCACTGGTGTTCTCATGAAGTTAGATTCTATGATCCGATGTTATCGCTGAAGGACATTAATTTTGCATCTGATAAATGGTAAATACTTGTAATCAAATCTATTCATATGCCCTCCTCACAAGGAATTATATATACATACATATATATATATATATATATATATATGTATATGTATATATATTCACATATGTGAGAATTGAGTATATTCCTCTCTCTGAAACATTTTAATTGCACCATGTGTCTATCTGTGCCTTGTCCAACTATATATTGATTAGTATCTTCATTCATTACTCTTCCCTACTCTGTACTGACTTCACATAAATTATGCTCTTTCTAAAATGAGCCATGGGTCCAAATCACCAAGGTTTTTTTTTTTTTTTTTTTTTTTTTTTTTTTTTTTTTTTTAAGCTTTTGACGTTAAACTAGTTGAATATTCAATATTTTATATTTTTTTAAACACATGCATTTTAAAAAAAAAATATTAACAAAAAAAAATATTTAGGAAAACAAATATTTGAAATAAATTAAATAAGAGCATATTAGGGGGTAAAATTTAATATGGCACAATTAAAAAAAGGCAAAATTAAAAATGAACAAAAAAAAAGAATGATCAAAATATACGTTTTAAATTGGACAAAGGTATTTCAATCAGTCATAATTATAAACATAAGATCTTTTTTATAAAAAAATAAACGAAATATTTTATATATTTCATCCTATATTCTGTTCATCTCTATTCAAAAACTCATTCACACTTAGTGAATAAAATAAAATAAAAATTTACAGCTAAAAGTGATAAGTAGGTAATAGTGGGGGAAAATAGAAAAAAGGCAATAGGTAGGCAAAAAAAAAAAAGAGAGAGAGAGAGAGAAGAAAAATATATAAAAAAATCTAAAAATGATCAAAGAAAAAGAAAATAGAGAAAATTAAAAAATAATAAAAAAAGAAAGATGTGGCCAATATGTGGCCTCCATTGAGGTCAACACATGACCTTGTTACAAGCTAACTCTTTGACTCTTTTAAGAATGCATAAATACCCTTATTGGTTGTGCATGTAAATGTTTATAAAAGTTAAATCTAATCAAATACAAAACTTGTCAGGAAATTCAGACTAAAACCTAAATAAATTACCAAGAATGAAAAATAATGAACGAAAAATAAAAGCACAAATCATATGAAGAATTTCATATAAGTTCACCAATTTAACTACATCTTGTTTCTGTCTCCGCATATTTCATTATATTGTTATAATAATTCAACATAGAAAATCATTCAATCACTCACTTGTGTTTATCTCACACTCAAAAGTGTTTTCTAGCTCTTATACTGTGGATTTTCTCTCTGAAAATTCGTCCCAATAAAACCCTATATCACTAGATATTTATAGAGTACAAGAAAAGCCTAAAAAAAAAACCTAAAACAACTCAAATTCGCCCTTGATTGTGCAGTGATACTCAATAAAACAACTACAAAATCGCGCGGCACTCAATGAAACAACTACAAAATCACGCTCACCTGTCTGGCGTTGCGACGCTCATAACTTGGCGCTGCGGCGCCCAACAACTTTTTTTTTTTTTTTTCGTTCTCTCTTTATCGTGATTAAGCTCCACTTCTTTAACAAAACTAACAAAATATGATACACATTTGATGATTTGATACAGAATCCTATTTTTAAAGTATTTTTTTCATACTCTATCATAAAATTCTCTCTCTCACTCTCTCTCTCTCTCTCTTTTTACGGGGTTTCTTGTTTAGTAATAGTTACTTGATTTGGCGAAGTAGTGAGAGTTGTCCGAGTTGAGAAGTTTTAGAAATGAAGCTTTTTTTTTTTTTAAATTAAGTTTTTTTTTTTTAAAAAAGCTTTTTTTTTTTTTTTTCACTCTCTAAAGTTAAAGAAGTAAATTAAAATAAACAAAAAAAAATTGAACTATTGGTTCGACTAAAGCACAGGATAGTCTCAATGATATTTTAGCGAGATAGATTATGTGGCGAATTTTTGTGTTGGAACGTTGATCATGCAAATTAACCATGTTGTTGTGTGGTCACCATCCCACATCATTGATAAGAAATAAAACTGGAAACCAAAGGATGGAAAATGTGTTAGTTGGGCATTTAATCCATTAGGACCACCTTCAACTACAATTCTTGGATGATTTCATAGATTAATTCCTTCCTCTGTCCTCCTCAAAATGGGCACTTCATTCCCTGCAATATACGTAATATGGTTCGTGGAATAACAATTGTAGTTTCATATTTGATTATGGGTTGTTTGGAAGCTATACTCAAACTTAAATCATGATTATGTTACAGTATTTTTTTTTAATCTTACAAAGAGTTTGAATTTTAAAATTTCTTCTCTCACAAAGTTCCCGCTAATGAACCCAAATCATAATTTGAATATATATTCTAAATAGACCTTATATAATTTTATGTCACAATGACCACATAAAAAAGTGTTGGTTGCCGAATCGAATCCGGCTGCAGAAGCGTGGTGGTGTGGGGGGAAGAGGCGGATCGTGTATAACAAAAATTTTCATAAAACTTTTGAGATACTCTATAGATTATATTAATTTATGCACGAATAAATTAATCTCATTAATTCATTTATTAAGAACTCAATCAGGAAAAATACCTGGAAGCCGACTCGGATAATAACTTGAGTTCTTTGACCACGAACAGTCCTTGCTCCAATCTTTGTGTTTAGAAAACCAATGTCTTCCACATCAATTCCTAGAATCCACGAAGACGTGTGTGTGGGCACACATGAGACAAAACGGGTTACAATAAACACTCGAATTTCCACAAACACCATCACATGCACGATGTGGAATTTTTGGAGAAAATTTTTTTCTTTCCTCTCTCTCTTGAGAATTTCGGCCAGCCTTAACTCTTAGGGCAGAAAAATTGTTTCCTTCTTTCTATAGAGAAATTTCGGCTACCTCTAAAATTAGAGCAAAAAACCATTCCGAAAATTGTCTCAAAAATAGTATTTATAGAGTAGAAGTCAAACTTCTAGAAGGAATCCAATCTCTATCTCCAATTTGAATTTCGAACCAAAATTCTCCTCTATCCCTTATCCCTTGTGGCCGGCCATGCTAGGGATTCCTATCCCTGTGTGTGGCGCCAATACTGGATAGGGAAGGAAGAGAAAATCATCCTTTATCCTGTAGTCCAATTTTGACTCAAATTCAAATTCCAATTTAAGTCAAACTTAAATTAATTTGAATTCTAAATTGAACAACTTATCAAATAAGTTTAAATGGATAAATCTAGATGTGTTCAAATTCAAATTTAAAAAATCACATTATTTAAATAATAATTAATTCTCAACTAATTATTTT